ATATTGTTTTCTATGGAAATGGAATCTCCGTACACTGGAGGTGGAATAGCAAAATGGTTAAGTGTGCTGGCTTTGACAGCCTTGTGTTGCCTGGGCTGGAATAGAAGAACCACCACTGCCCAGTTCTGATACCTTGGAAAGTTTATCTTACCTAGTTTCCTCCTTTGCAAAATAGGGCTGTAACTATCAATTGTTAGTTGAGATTTTTAAATTTCAGAGGCAAATTTTGTGCATGAAAAGGCACTCATCAGGCCCTCCACCCCCCACCTGGGTTCCCTAAGCCCAGTCCGGTCCAGCCCGGTTCCTGGGAGGATGAAACTTGTGTATGAAAAGGAGCATCTGTTAGAGAAGCGCCACTCTGAGGGCGAGAAGATCTGAAAGAAATATCCGGACCAGGTCCCGGTGATAGTAGAAAAGGCTCCCAAAGTTCAGATAGGAGACCTGGGCAAAAAGAAATACCTGGTGCCTTCTGATCTCAGAGTCGGTCAGTTCTATTTCTTGATCCGGAAGCGAATTCACCTCCGAGCTGAGGATGCCTTGTTTTCCTTTGTCAACAATGTCATTCCACCCACCAGTGCCACAAGGGGTCAACTATACCAGGAACACCACGAAAAAGACTTCTTTCTATACACTACCTACAGTGATAAAAGTGTCTATGGCCTGTGAAGCTGCTGCACCTGTGGTGGGAGGTCCCATTCTACAAAGAGAGAGGTGGCACCCCCTTCCTTGACCTCTCTTCAGGACCTGCCTACACTTCATAATGTTCGAGGCTCTTCTCCAGAACCTCTTAGAACCAATGGGGGAGATTGCTTCTAGTTCCTCTCCTTTCTTGTTCTTTCCTCTTTCTTTACCACCTTTTCCTTTTTTGTTTTAGACTTGATGGTCCATCTCTGCCACATCAAGTGATTGTTTTGGTTTCTGTTCCCTTTCTAACTGCCAAGGGGCTCAGAACCCCAGCAATCTTTTCCTTTCACTGCCTTTTTTGGGGGGTAGGTGGAAGGGACTGAAATTGTTGGGTAAGGTAGGAGGCACATCAATAAAGAGGAAACCACCAAGTGGAAAAAAAAAAAAGAAGAAAAGGCACCCATCAAACTGTTTGCATTTATTCAATATTTAAAGATTAGGGTTGTAAATTTTAAGGCTAGTTGTTATTAAGTATTTAACAAATCTCAAATTCATTTATAAATCTATCACTTTCATGTTAAAATAAAACATTTCACTTGTTCTTTAACACTGAGTGAGCTTATTAATTTGACATATTAAATTTTCCATTTAAACACTATCTATAAATGTGATAGAATTTTCTTAAGCATACAAATCAAATTCTCTTACACATTTGAACACTGTCTATAAAATTCATTTATTAAATTTCCTTTATGACAAATTCATACCTTGCTATATCTGATTTTTTTCACATACTTCAAGCTCCTAAAAAGGCATACTTAATACTCTGCATATCATCTCCGCCTATTCTCTACCCAGTCCTGAGTCCTTACAAAGTATTCCATTAAGAGTCTTCCTGTGCACTGAACAGGCATTGGTAAGGAGTATGGGCTCCCAGCCAGATTGCTCTGCTACTAGCAGAGCTGGCTGTATGACTTTGGTTAAGTCATGTAACTTTTTGTCCCTCTTTTATTGTCTGAAAATGGGGGTAGCAATAGTACACAATTCACAATTGTTGTGAGTCTGACCTGAGTCAGTGCATGGAAAGCACTTAAAACAGTGTGTGGCAAGGAGTAAGCCCTTAGCAAATGTTATGGAATTAGTGTAAATGTAGTAGATCAAATTCTTTTAGGTATTTGCGCAGCATAAAAATCAAACCTACACATTAAATCAAATTCACATAAGTGTTAAATATCTACTATACCCCTGAGTAGTAAAATCCTAAATATTTCAATAAAAAATCAACCTAATGCCAGATTCTTTTCCAAAATATATTTTATTGATTATGCCATTACAGTTGTCCTATTCCCCCACTTCATTCCCCTCCACCCTGCACACCCCTCCCCCACCATTCCCCCTTTAGTTTATGACCATGTGTCTCAAGTTCTTTAGATTCTATATTTCCCATACTATTCTTGCCCTCCCCCCTATCTACTTTCTATCTACAGTCTATGCTACTTATTCTCTGTACCTTCTTCCCCCTTCTTCTCCTCCCACTCCCCTGTTGCTAACCCTCCATGTGATCTCCATTTCTATGGTTCCACTCCTGATCTAGCTGTCCTCTTAGTTTGCTTTAGTTTTAGGTGTGGTTGTTAATAACTGTGAGTCTGCTGTCCTTTCACTGTTCATCTTTTTTATCTTCTTTTTCTTAGGTAAGTCCCTTTAACATTTCATATAATAGGGGCTTGGTGATGATGAACTCCTTGAATTTGATCTTATCTGAGAAGCACTTTATCTGCCCTTCCATTCTAAATGAAAGCTTTGCTGGATAGAGCAATCTTGGATGTAGGTCTTTGGATTTCATGACTTGGGATACTTCTTTCCAGCCCCTTCTTGCCTGTAAGGTCTCTTTTGAGAAATCAGCTGACAGTCTGATGGGAACTCCTTTGTAGGTGACTGTCCCCTTATCTCTTGCTGCTTCTAGAATTCTCTTCATTTTAATCTTGGCTAATGTAATGATGATGTGCCTTGGTGTGTTCCTTCTTGGGTCCAACTTCTTTGGGACTCTCTGAGCTTCCTGGGTTTCCTGGAAGTCTATTTCCTTTGCCAGACTGGGGAAATTCTCCTTTATTATTTGTTCAAATAAGTTTTCCACTAGTGGCTGTTCCTCTTGCCCTTCTGGTACCCCTATAATTCAGATGTTGGAACATGTAAAGATGTCCTGAAGGTTCCTAAGCCTCTCCTCATTTTTTTGAATTCTTGTTTCTTCATCCTTTTCTGTTTGGTCATTTTTTTCCTCTTTCTGGTCCACTCCTTTGATTTGAGTCCCAGTTTCCTTTCCATTATTATTGGTTTCCTGTGCATTTCCATTCATTTCAATTAGTTTAGCCTTCATATGTTCCTCTAATTTGTGACTAAAATCCACCAGTTCTGTGAGCATCCTGATCACCAGTGTTTTGAACTGTGCATCTGAAAGTTTGGCTATTTCTTCATTGCTTAGATTTATCAGCTCTGGGGCTGTGAGTTGTTCTTGAGCCATGCTTTGATCTGTTCGTGCCTGTTATGTATGAGGAGCAGAGCCTTAGATGTTCACCAGGGCGGGGCCACCCAGGTGGCTGGTTTGTGATGCTGTATGTGGGGGCAGGGTGAAAGAGGGACAATAGTGGTCCCCTGTGCCTCTTCCCGCCCCTGGGGCCTGCATGGTCTGTCTCACCACACACTCCTTCACTGGTTTATCTGTGCTGGAATGTGTGACCGTGGCCAGCCCTCAGTGAGTCCACTGCCTTGTGCCCTCAGTGGGTCTGCCCGCTACTCCACACCTGGGATCCACCCATGGCTGCCTGCATGCCTGGGTCGCATGCCTGGGTCAGTTCGGTGGATCTTTCCTGCCCGACCCAGGTCTGCTGCTGGCTCTGCCCCTCTTACCAGTTTGGCTGAAGGGTTCGTTGTTGTCAGACTTCCATATAGTTCAATTTTCTGTGGTTTGGCTGAGTTTTTGTTGCTAAAACTTTGTTGTTTTTAAACTTGGTTGTGCGAGAAGGTACAGTGCTTCCACCTATGCCTCCATGTTGGCAGAAGTCCCCTATGGTAACTACTTTTAACTTTTCCCTGCTTGACAGGAAAGGATGGAATTCTGTGCCTTCCCAATGGAAAGTTTGGCTAATTTCTTTGTTTATTAAAGTTAAATTCTTTATCTCCTTTATATTTGCTTTCCTATCTGTCTAAAACAGATTAATGCCATAGTCCTACCTCAAAGGGTTGTTGTAAGCCTTAAGTGAAATTTTGTAAAACACAACACCGGGTATATAGTATGTACTCACTGAATGTTAACTATTATTATTATGTGGTTACTTTTTCAGTTTTTCTTTAAACAGTTTCACATTCCTTAAATATTTTTATTAAAATGCAAAAGAACAGTTGTCTTTCAATCAAAACTCAAACTTGCACTACTTTGTGGTAGTTTTTATAACCTACTGACTTATAAAAAACACTTATTTATTATCTTACAGTTCTAGAGGTCAGGAATCTAAAATAGTCTCACTGGATTAAGATCAAGGTGTCAGCAATGGGCTACATTCTTTGCTAAAGGCTCTCAAGAGAATCCATTTCCTTGCCTTTTCCAGCTTCTAAAGGCTACCTACATTCCTTGGCCCATGGTCTCTTCCTTCAGCAATAGTATCACTCTGACCACTGCTTCTGTCCACAGTCTTTCACTCTGACTTCCTGCCTTCCCCTTTCACTTTTAAGGACCCTTGTAATCACATTGGGCTCACCTGGATGGTCCAGGAAATTCTCTCCATCTCAAGATCCTTAACTTAATCACATGTACATAGTCCCTTTTGTCATGCAAGGTAACATATTCACAGATTTCAGGAATTAGGATGTAGACATCTTTGGGCAGCCCTTACTCTGCCTGCCACAGATACTATTCCTGAATTACTGATGATGAAACCAAAGTTGGCATTATGTACCAGCAAAGAGATGGAAAAGGATTCTTATTTCACTGTCCTTTAAATAGACCTTGGCCAGATGCTGACAGCATTGACTACATGTTTGACCCCTTGACTATTTGTTTCCTTAGAACTAGGTGCATTTTAAAATCTAAATGGGTCTGAATAGCTTCCAGGTAATCAGCCATTTAATACTATATATAATTTTATATTTTATAGTATTTTATAAACATATATTTATACTTATAAATATCAACTTGTCTATCCAGAATATGGCAACATGTTCCTGAGCTGCTAAAACTTAGGAAGGGCATATGCACACACACACACAAAGCTGTCCTGAGTAGCCAAAATAGCTGAGAGAAAGGTGGTGAGACTCTTGTGTTTCATTGCGGTGAAAACTTTAGGCTACACTCAGATCCCAGTTCTTTTTTTTTTTTTTTTAAGAAAAATATGGAACGCTTCCCAAATTTGTGTGTCATCCTTTCTCAGGGGCCAGACTAATCTCTATATTGTTCCAATTTTAATATGCATGTTGCCAAAGCAAGCATGACATATAGTTCTAACAAGCTTAGTTATTTAATTTACAATCCTTGGCTGACTTGATGTAGAAAATTAGAGAGCAAGAAAGAAAACTCTAGGCAGGTAAATTGACAGAACTAAGGAGACTTGAGGAAACATCTCAGTCAATAATGTGCCTTGTTTATATGATATAGTCAAATTAAATAAAGTGACACTAAATTTGTGCATTCAAGTCAAGAAAGGAAGGTGAAAAAGAAGAGGTGTTTTAAATAGAATCTATTAATTCTCAAACCTTTGGCCAGTCACTACCTTTCTGGGCTTTAAATTCTTTGTTTTAAAAAAATGAGACAGACTATTTGATATCCAGACTTCAGTATACTCTAGAATTCTATGACTTCAGGTGACAACACTATCTTGTTAACAAGGACACAATCAGAAGTGCTGTGGGTGGAAGGGGAACAGTGGAGGTGGAAGATGATATGGGGGGGGTAAGGGTAATGGCAAAAATACAATAAAATAAAAACTAATTTAGAAAAGAAAAAATAAGCGCTATGTACTATGGTATGTACTTATATTTTTACTACATTTACTATTATGACAACCACTATTACGAACATAACATTTTGTAGCATTTAAATACTTCAGTTGTCTGAGACAATTAAGAGTGAGGCAGGCAGAGCAATGTGCTTCAACAGTGTAAAAGGCATCACTTTTGCATAGCTAGAACAATAACTAATATTTATGTTCTTTAATTTAACCAGCAATTAATGAGCCACTACTATATGTCAGGCACAGTGTTAGGAGCTAAATCATCATGAGAAATCATTTTCATATGTTTCAGGAGACAGGTGAAGAGCAATAACTAAATAAAAACTTTTAAAGTATGTAAATAATTTGGAAAGAATTCTTCCCAGAAGCAGTCCAACAGAAAATTTCATGCAAGTCCTCAAAGATATTTACTGATGCATTGTTTGTAATAGTAATACACTGGAAATGATCTATATGTTCATCAATAGAATGAGCGAGGCTTATATACAAGATCTGTCAAAAAAAAGTCCAGGCATTGTTATAACAAGAATGGTTTGTAGGACATTGATGTAACCTGGCAGCCAAGGACAGTGGACTGGAATATGTATGTGTGAACAATGATGACTTCCCTGTGCTAGTCAGAGGAGGTGGTAGACATCACTGAGTGAGTATATGAACTATGTGGCTGTTGTATTCAAAATGACTGAGGGAGTAGAGCAATGAATCTGCATCAGATTTTGCATTAAGCGTGAACATTCCCCTGCAGAAACTTTCAGATGACTTCAGAAGGCTGCAGCTATGGGCAATTGGTGATTGGCAGCTTCATCCCAAGAATGTACCTGCTCATGCATCACATCTCATTAAGGTTTTTTTTGTTTTTTTTTTTTTAGCAAAACATCAAATCACCCAGGTGACACAGCTCCTCTACAGCCCAGATTTGGTGGCCTGTAAAATTTTGGTGCCCTGCTATATTTTCATGTGGAATATCGAAACTTTTATTTAAAACAACATGTTTTACAAGAATTTGGAATAAATAACTAAGTCGTTTCACCTGCAATTTGGTGAGCAGCTAAAAGCTGTGAACTTGCATTTAGTTCCTCCTCTCTTCATCCTGGTTGGCTTTGAACTTTCAATAAAGCTCTTCACCTGAGCTTGCTCTTAAAGAGACCTGTATTTAGAACATGTGATAATAGCAAGTGTCTGCATGCCAATTTGTTTACTGTGAGTCTCTCAAAGGAAATCGTGTGCATCTGTCTGTTCATTTTTCCTTGGAACCTAGAAGGTCACCTCTAAAAATAATCTTGCTCAGTATCAGAGCTTCTGTGACACAGAGGTACATTCCTCACATGCTCTCCACAGTTAGTGCCCTATTCGAGGCATATCCAGTTCCCTAAAGAAGTCAGACCAGAGAAGGGGAGAGAAACAGCTGCCAGCTAAACTGTCCAGATCTTGATTCATTTAATATTGGATACAAAGGAAGCCCTTTAAAAGATAGTGCATACCTCTTCTCATGGCTACCACTCTAGACTAGCAATGTTGAAATTTTAAATTTTTATTGGCTAAATATTTTGTCTTTTGTCAAGTTCTAAAAGACATATTAAAAGAATTTCTGATCTAGAGCCTATGCTATGGTTATTTGACTTTGCAATACACATACTTGGGGTGCCTAACCAGCCTCGACTTCTGGAAGGGCCCAGATGCTCTTGTTGGATGAGTGGGCCTGAGGAACCACGCTCATAGCAGGGAAATACAGCCCATTTGCCCTGTCCTCTACCCCACTCCTCCCTAGTTGAACCTTCCATTACCCCGTGCTGGGCTAGGGCAACATTGTGCAAGGTCTTGAAAGCCAGACTATGGATTTTTACAAGGGAATAAGCTGATGAGAACTCTGCTTTAAGATTAACCTGGCATCAGTGTGAATAGGGAATGTGAGGAGAAAGATCAGTTGGAAATCTATTGCACAGGTAAGAAATAATGAATGCCATGGACAGAACACAAAAGAATGATGGTAACTGAAGAGATGGAATCTATGGAATTTTATAGCTAACTGGATCCAGGGTACAAAAGAATTCCATATGTTCTAGAAGTTTCTAAGACTTGTGCCAGGAAATTGGTGGTGCCATTATGAGGAACTCATCTTCTGCCTGTCCAGGGACCTTATGCTAACAATTGGTTTGTCACTTGTCTTCAACTGTTTACTTTCATTGATTCATTTCCATTTAAGCCTAATCAAGAATCTCCCACATTTAAAAACAAAAACAAAACTTTCCCCCTGAGAGATGATGGGAAGTGTAGGCTACTAACATCCTCATCTTATATGCAGACAGTCAAGAGATGCTGTCTATGATTAATGATATGAAAAAATGGAGCTTACATAGGTTTCAATGGTGGCCAGTGGAGAAACCAAGAAGGGTGATACAACTACTTTGAGTGAAAGAGGAGAAACAGAGAGATATGTAAACTAAATTCTTATTCAACCAATCAGGAAGTTAATAATGTCTAGGCTGATAAATCAAGAAATAATCATATTAGGAGGTTAATTAGCAATACGGAGGTTGCAACAACACAAAAGCAGTTCAAAAGGGTTGTCTCTGGCCTGGAAAAGATTGGCTCAGAGGATTGTTGCTTTTTTGTTTTTGTTTTTGTCTCCACCTCCCAACCAATTATTGCTTTTTTTTTAACCATTTGTATCTATCTCTTTGATGAGGCTTTTGAGGATTTTTTTTCCTTTTCAATATGGTAAGAAGAGAGCCCTTAAAAAGTAACCCTCCACACCCTGGCTGGTGTGGCTCCGTGAATTAAGTGCCAGCCTACAATCTGAAAGGTCATGAGTTGGATTCCCAGTCAGGGCACATGGCTGTGTTGTGGGTCAGGTCCCCATGTGGGGGTATGAGGGAGGCAACCGATCAATGTATCTCTCACACATCTATGTTTCTCTCCTTCTCTCTCTCCCTCCCTTCCCCTGTCTCCAAAAATAAATAAAATCTTAAAAAAAAGAATCCTCCTTAAATCACATCTCCTTATAGCTACCATCATTTCTCTTCTTCTTATCTCTCTTCTTCCTTAAAATATATTCCTTAATATAATAATAATAGTAGCTAACATTGACTGAATTATTGTTATGTGCCATGCATTGTGCTAATCACTTTACTTTCATCATCTTGTTTCATCTTCACAGCAAACGTATTGCAATTGGAGATCTTTTTTTTTTTTGAGGAGTAATTAAGTGATTGAATTCGGCCACTTATTTTTTTAAATATATTTTATTGATTATGCCATTACAGTTGTCCCATTTCCCTCCCTTCATTCCCCTCCACCCTGCACATCCCCTCCCCCCATTCCCCCTTTTAGTTCATGTCCATGTGTCACAAGTTCTTCAGCTTCTACATTTCCCATAATATTCTTGCCCTCCCCCTGTCTATTTTCTACCTACCATCTACACTACTTATTCTCTGTACCTTCTCCCCCTTCTCCTCCTCCCACTCCCCTGTTGCTAACCCTCCATGTGATCTCCATTTCTGTGTTTCTGCTACTGATCTAGCTGTCCTCTTAGTTTGCTTCTGTTTTAGGTGTGGTTGTTAATAACTGAGTTTGCTGTCCTTTCACTGTTCATATTTTTTAACTCCTTTTTCTTAGATAAGTCCCTTTAACATTTCATATAATAAGGGCTTGGTGATGATGAACTCCTTGAATTTGATCTTATCTGAGAAACACTTTATCTGCCCTTCCATTCTAAATGAAAGCTTTGCTGGATAGAACAATCTTGGATGTAGGTCTTTGGATTTCATGACTTGGAATACTTCTTTCCAGCCCCTTCTTGCCTGTAAGATCTCTTCTGAGAAATCTACTGACAGTCTGATGGGAACTCCTTTGTAGGTGACTGTCCCCTTATCTCTTGCTGCTTCTAGGATTTTCTCCTTCATTTTAATCTTGGCTAATATAATTATGATGTGCCTTGGTGTGTTCCTTCTTGGGTCCAACTTCTTTGGGACTCTCTGAGCTTCCTGGACTCCCTGGAAGTCTATTTCCTTAGCCAGATTGGGGAAGTTCTCCTTTATTATTTGTTCAAATAAGTTTTCCACTTGTTGCTCTTTCTCTTCCCCTTCTGGTACCCCTATAATTTGGATGTTGGAATGTTTAAAGATGTCCTGGAGGTTTCTAAGCCGCTCGTCACTTTTTTGAATTCTTATTTCTTCATTCTTTTCTGATTGAATGTTTCTTCCTTCTGGTCCACTCCCTTGATTTGAGTCCCAGTTTCCTTTCCATCACTATTGGTTCCCTGTGCATTTTGCTTCATTTCACTTAGTGTAGCCTTCATTTTTTTCATCTAATTTGTGAACAAAATCAACCAGTTCTGTGAGCATCCTGATCACCAGTGTTTTGAACTGTGCATCTGATAGGTTGGCTATCTCTTTGTTGCTTAGAAGTATTGGCTCTGGGGCTTTGAGTTGTTCTTCTGCTTGAGCCATAATGTTTTGGTCTGTTCATACCTGTTACGTAT